TGTGCGGTAGGCTCTAAGTGTTCTTGGGCGCAGGTCTGCAAACTGCAAGCTCCTTTTGCTACGCTTCATGAGCTCTGCTAGCCTTGTCCGCAAAGTACCATCCAATGATGGTCCAGAGCGGAAACATATAGTTGTCCATTGCTAACATGTAGGCACTGCACCTTCGAGCCACACTGTTCAGCCTCCGCGAACTGCTCCTTCCCTTTGCCAGAACGCCACGTGAAACCATAGAATCCAGCACGTGGAAGAAGCGTAGATGCTGCTTGGATCGTGTCCGGGCACGTCTCTTCAGGAAGACAGCCACTGCCAAGAGTTCTAATTCATTGAAATGAGCTTCTTGGCGCCATGCATAGGACATCGCCGTCCGCCACTGCCATCTCATAGCCAAAAAAAGGTTGCTCACGCATCTCTCCATCCACCTCGAGGACCGATCTCACATCCGAACCTCGGTAAGTAGCCTGCCGCAGCAACATAGCCAAGTGCTCCTTTTCCTGGCCCTTCACCATAAAGCTCTCCTTCAAAGCCAGGCTTTCGGCCATCGGCCCTGCAACGTCAATGGTGCATGGAGCTGACTGAAACTCTACGGCTGTCGCCGCTCCTCCACCAGATGGCGAGGCATCTGTGACCGACACTTCTGGGTCGATTCCTGCCTTCAAGTACGAGTACATGAGAGGGGTGAGCAGCACCATGATGGCCACCTCGTCCCAGGCGCCTGGCCGAGGCACCTCACGGTCGTTCTGGCTGGCCCTCACATTGATCTCCTCGAACACGCTTTCCAAGATAGCGAAAAGCGGCCGCCTGAAGCAACATCCGAAGGTCGCCTTGCCAACAAAGTGCCTCAACTCGCCTTCGGACCACTTCTCCTTGGCCAACAAGGTGCTTCCTGAGGTGATCACTTCAACCACCTTCTGAACTGAAAGGCCAAAGCGGCCTTCTTCACCGTCAAGCACTCCACCTTGAAGGGCTCCCAACGTCGAAGCCACTAACCTTTTGCCGTCGTTCAGCGGCAGGGCCAGCTTCTCACAAACCTTAAGAAAGCGCTTGTGCCTCTCGGACATCTCTGCCTTCACGACTTCCTCACAGCCCTTCTTGAACCTTCTCAACTGGTCGTACGAATCCAGGTAGATCACCGTCAGGTCTTCGTCAGCAGGCAGAAGCTGGGTCTTGGCAACCTCCGACCCTTGAGGAATCTCGGCCTCTTTGAAGACCAAGGACCTCACAATGCTCTGAACCACTGCCACACTGCTGACCCAGCCCATGGGTAAAACAGCCATTGCAGGGTACACCATCTTTCCTGCCACCCCCCCCAGCAGCGCTGCATCCGCAGGCTTCACTAATGCCATGAACTTGTGCCAGTCAGGGGGTAGGCGGAAGAGGTTGAAGCAGGTCGTGAAATCCTCTGAATCCCCCAACCAAACTTCTTCCTCCTCCTGTTGCAGGAGGGTGAGCTGTCCCCGGTAGGGAAGCAGTTTGACGTGGCCTTCTAGCCGGTCTTGAAACATGTTGCTCGGGATCAGATTGCTAATAAAGCGCTGCGCGCTCACCACCTTTCCATCTACCTTCTTTTCCTTCTTCACAGCTCCCGCTCCGTTGAGGACTGGTCGGCCTTTCTGATCTTTGAACCCCTCATCCAACTCATCAGCCACCATCAAGCCACGCTCATACGCGGCCCCAACATCTTTGTTCCCTTCATCGTCTGTGGCCCTCACTCGTGATTTGTGAGGCTCTTGGGGCCACGCATGTACAGGCTTAAGGCAAGACACTGGATCCAGCAACTTTGCCCTCAATTCCTCTGGCACGAAGGTCAACGCATCCTGGACGGCTGCTTGACCCACCTTCGGCCAAGCCGCGATCACCTTCTCTGCTCGGATCACCACCACAGGCTCTCCCTGGTAAGCAAAGCGCACCGCTGCTAAATGTCGCGCCGTCTCTTCATAGCGCCCACACCTCAGCTTTCGCTCTTCGACATAGTCCAAGGCTCGTCTCAGATGATCCACCGTCAACTTCTGGGCCTGGGTGAGCTCCTTCATAAAGACATGCGCCACCCATCCGCCATGCCCTTGCGACTTTGCCAGGTAGTTCAAAGCGCAAACCATTCCTGCCACGCCTTGAGCCTTCATCTCCCCTGAGGAATGCAGGTAGGCCAACACTGCTTGTGGGTTAATGGGCAGCAGCTCGTCGCCTCGCACTTGCTTGGAGGACTTGTCCTCGGGGGGTGCTCCTCGACTCTTTCCCAATTGCGCCAGGCGACACAACGGCGTATCCTTGCTCTCAAAAGCCCTCCGCAAAGCACCGAACAGCTCAACTGGAGACCGTTCAACACTGCGAAAGACCTTCAAGCCTCCGGCATCTGCTGGCTCAGGGGGACATGCAGGCCCACTGGTGACAGCCTCATCTGCTAGTCCTTCTTCTCTCTCTCCTTTTCGCCTCCTTTGCCTTTTCCTCTCTCTTTCCCTTTTCGGGCGCCCTTCTCTTGACTTCCTTTTCCGCCCTCGCCCCCTCTCGGGGGGTTGTAGCCCTTCAGCTTGAGCTCCAGGAGGTGTTCCCTGTCAATGAACACCTCTTCGTCCCTCTCCAGGAGACCGCCCGAGTCCGGCCCCAGGAGCTCCAGGAACTGTGCTGCCTGCCAATGGCCGTCGTGGCAACTCTTCTCGATCGCCTTCAGACGCTGCCACAGCAGGTCTGCTGTGTGGGCTGGCAGCCTTCTTGCTAACAGGTCCAGGGCTGTACACAATGTCCTCATCTCCCTGTGGGCTCTCAGATTCAAGCGCTGGCCCAATTGCGGCACGATCATCGTATGGAAGTAGTGGACGGCCGCTGGTGGAGTCAGTTCTCCTAGATCGGCTGGATTCGCCCCCGCAGCCCCCTGGGCTCCCTCGACCTGCATCTTCAAGAGGAGCCTTGAAGCCAGGCGGCCCAGTGTTCTTTTGGCGTACTGCATCAACTTCAGCTGGTTTGATGCCTTCGGGACTGCGGGGGCTTCGCGAAAAACTGCCTCCGACTCACTGGACGATTCCCCTTGGAATCTCACTAAGTCTCCACCTCCAAACGGCCCTCGATCACGCCGGCCCTTCTTGGCACCAGCGGTAACCTTCTCCTCTGGGAATTCCCCAAACAGACCTTCATCCTCGTCATCGCTGGGCGAGGAGGACTCGTCGATGGCCTTCTTCTTCCTCTTTGCCATACGCGCCTCCTTTGCTGCTTCGTCGTCTGCCTTGGAGGCCTTCTTCTTCTTCTTCTTTTCACCTCCTGAGGAGGGTGACTCCTTAGCCCTCTTTCGCTTCTTCTTCTCCTTACCCTCGGGCGTTGGCTTCTTCTTCTTCTTGACCTTTTCCTTCTTGTCCTTAGATCCCGCTGCCTTGGCGCTGACCTTCTTTCCGGTCAACTCTCGCTCCAGCTTCTTCACCTCGTCACGGGCCTTAAGGAGTTTGGCCTTGAGGCCTTCCTTCCCCGGACTCTCCACGGTTGAATCCTCTTCCTCATCCTCTGAAGCTTCTTCGCCTGGGTCTACCCAGGGTAACGCAGCCTTTGCTTCTTTGGGCCTGGGCTCCATGTCCTTCTTCTTCAGAAACTCTAGAAAGGTCTTCCCCATACTCTTCTCGAAGGCCCAAGCAGGAACTCCACTGTTGATCTCCTTCTGCGTCAGGAACCGGAACTTCTCCACGTGGATAGAGGCTCCTCGTCGAGTCACTTTGCAGTCGTGTGATGACTCTTCACAAAAGTGGTAAGCGCATTTTGCTGCCAACTTTTTGCCCTCACCTTCCATCATCCACCACTGCATGTGGGAATCGCTAGCTCCCACAAACTTGGCGGACCTTGACCATCTGTGGATAGGGCTGCCGCGACCTCCAGGATGATCGTTCCCTGAGCGTGCCCTTCACCATCACGGATGGCACACTCGATCACTTGTCCTGGCTCGAAGCGGTGCCCATACCACCTTTCTCTATCAACACCCCCCGCCACCCACATTGGGGTGACGGGGGGGTGAAGCAGTTGCTCCCTCAGCCAAACAGCTTCGAAGAGTTTTGGGGACATATCATCGTAGCTCTACTCAGTAGAGGCATTGCTCAGTGCAATATATTAAATTTGTCTTTTTCAACCTTTTTCCTATAGAATAAAGGGTTTAGCGATATTTGGCGGGTCAGAGCTTATTCTTCTGCTTTATTTTGCGGGTTTCGAAACTGGTGCTTGGCAACCTCTCTGCCCGCATTTGCGTTCAAAGCAACACTAGCTAAGGGCATAGCGGGGCCCTGCACGCCGGAGCTTGCCAATCTTGCTTTGGGTTTCGAAGCTGCTGTCTAGCACCCTTTCCGGCCGCATTTGTGCGCAAAGCAATATTGAATATTGGCTAAGGGCTTGGTGGGGCCACACCGGAGCTTGCCAACCTTCTTTTACTGGGTTTGGTGCAGGGATCGCAGATCTTGCTTCGAAATCGATTACAGCTGTTTGGGTTGGCCAATTCAGCTTGACTTGACTCAAATGTTGCACTTAAGAAGACAAATGAACATTAGGGACTATTGCAACAATGAGTTTCAACATGTGAACAAGCAGGCCAAGTGACAAACCCCCCCTCCAGCTCAAGGCTCTCTATCCACGAGATCCATATCCATGAGATGCTCGAAGGTATTCATGCGTTTGACCTCCCCTAAATCCGCACGGACCATTGTTCAATTCACTGCTTTTGAGAGTTCATCTATCACTTAATCTACGGTCCAATTCTGAAACGCATCTTACACGACTCGATCCTACCCAAACACCTGGGGCCACTGACCCCCATTCTCGACTATCCTTCCTGGCAGTTGGCGGCACCCAGGCATCAATTTGCCGCATATACTATATTTTGAATATCGATGTCTAAGGGGTCAAATGCAAGAACCTATAAGTTATAGGGGTGAAAATATATTGAGTTGTTTGAAGTTTCCCCGACAGAGTCAAAATATTCGATGCAGCATCCTGTCCATTATGCCACCACATTCCAAGTTCTGATTGGATGTTTTGCTCTGTGAGCCAGCTACACAATTCTCTGGACCGCATTTGACCGCATAGAAGTGAGGCCTCACGACTTAGAAGAGCCAGGACCCCAAATTCACCACATTTCAAAAGAAAAGCACACGGCATGCATCATTTTTGCTACGCGACAAATAGCCAAACGCTCCTTTGTCACTAGCCAGGGCACTGGCCACTTTCACTCCATTTGGCCTTTTGGCTTCAAAACTGCACTAGAACTAGAACTGTGCTGCCTCATACGACAAGTGAAATATCTAGCAGTGTGCCAAGCTTCATTTTAGCTTGGGTCAAAATTTCTGCGTCACTTGGGGTCTTTGAAACTTGGCCACCAAAGCCTTGGCATCCCTCTTGCAATTTGCCTGAGGGAGTGAAGTAGCGGTTGCCATACATCTGCTTCTGGGGTAAGCAGGTGCCCACCATCTCTCCTTGCATCACCACATAGTTAGCAAAAAAATATTGCTCATGGCCGGGAAGTGTGGGGTCAACACCCAAGGCATGGTCCACATAGGCATAGATGTTGTCCTCGGTACAAAATCTTGCACAAGAGCCAACATCTCTTCATCAAACTGAACATCCTACAAAAAGCATTCATTGAACCATTGGGCATTATTTAAATGATACTTACGATGACCCTTGCCGCTTGCCTTCTGAAATTCTGATACTCCGCTAAACTTTTTATATCTTTTTATCAGGTTGCACAACCCTGCAGGCATTTTTAATCATGTTTCCATTTGTTGGCCGCTCAAAGCCAAGATTCGTAGTGATGATTATCGTGGCCACCAAAGTCGGTCTTCATGGCTTGCCATCCGTAGACAAAAAAGTTGTCCTAAATGGTCAGGGGTGGATTGCTTCGACTGTCGGACCGCACATGCTTGGACTGGAGAAAGGACTAAAACTGGGGGCCCCCCAAATCGATTTACAAGACCACTTGTCACTTGATGTCCGGTTTGGTTGGATCCGACTGGTCACACCCCTGAACTCAGAATAGCCGGGTAGCTTGGCAAAGGAAGCCACTGAATGAATCAAGTGGAGCTCATCAAGCAACATAATGATACTGTCTGTGGATGGACAACATCCGGCATCAGTTGGCCTATCATAAGCCCTTTAAACTTTAAACAATTAATGATCATACTCTACTTACCAACTGGCGCAGCATTTTTACCATCCACAGTAAAGTAGTTGTTAGTGACCATCACCTAGAACAAAGGCATTGAGCCCAATGCTAGTTGCTACTGTAGCAACTCTTCGCTCAGCAAAGCTTCATGGGTCTTGTAATAGCAACTTCCATCGTCATTGTCGATGGCTTCTTGAGGAGAGAAGTTGTCCACCATGAAGTTGTGATGAATCCAGCGCCACTGCATGATCCTCGGAGCTGACAAAATAACAGCCCAGATCTGCCAGAAGAGGAAGAGTCTTACCGTCTTACCCTCCAATTAAGGTAGACTGGTCCATGGCTGGTGGTATACATTTAGGATCGATGATTCTCAGGGTCAACGAGCCAGTTGGGGGGAGGGGGTAGACCCACAACTGAGTGAATCCTGCGCTGCACACTGGCCGCCGGCATCCGCCGGCCGCTTTTAGTTTTCAAGCGCTCAGCTGAGAACTCTGAGTCAGCCTTGTGTTTGATGGAACTTGAAACTAGTAATTTGATATACCAATACCTTGATATTGAGATTGATATCGACCACGATCTATGTATATACCCACATACTACGACACATTACAGTTATGTAATATACCGTATATACCTATTTTTGTTGCGTGTGGAACCCATCTGTATCTCATACATTTCATCCGAGGATTCGCCATCTGATGTCCATCACCATACTCAAACCACACACCCCACTCTCCCCGATTGTGCCAAGTCACATGGAAGGCTCACCAGTCCGGACGGTGGTCAGAAAGGGCTGTCGATCCCAGGAATTGAAGGGGCCGTGGTCGCCACTCTCCCGACAGGTCGAGAAGATCAAGTTCCACGCAATCTCATCACCACCTCTCTGCAAGTTGCCACAACAAATGAGGCGCCGTCAGAACCGATTGCTTCGGACTGGTGCGATCAAATTTGTGGAAATCAACATGCTCCAGATTCAACATGATTCAACATGAGTATGGGATGCATTCCGAACAGGCTCGAAACTTGATGAAGGACTTCTTTTTCAGGCGCTGTCTCTATTTACCTTCGTGAGTCCATATCCCTTGGCCAACATGAGGCTGTCTGGGGTTTGTTCACCCCGATACCTCCTGAGGGCTACAACTAGTTTGGCATGTTGGGAGTCCCTCCCCAGAAGTGGGTAGATGTCATCGCCTGCCCTGGTAACCTGAACCCAAACCGCGTTGCATGCCCTGTCTTCGTGTTTGTGATTTCTATCCGATGGAAATGCCGCTTGATCATGCCACGTCATAGGTAAGCCATATAGATTGCCGCATAAAACGCTTTTCAACTAATTCCATGTTAGTATGCAATGTGAGAAACAAAATTCAGTATATATTTCAAAAAGGTGCAAACAACACACTCAAACGCTTGCCTCCAAACCCATCATTGAAGTTGATCCCTGCACGGGGTCCATTGAAGAAAACGTTGGACAAAATCCGGGACTCTGCGGCCTTGGCCTGGACAAAATGGTTGCAAACTGGTCAGTTGCTTTTTTATACCTGAGAAGGGAGGGGACGAAAGCCAGCCTCTGGCTTAGGGGGTGCTCTCAGGCCCGGGCAACGACTTGGCGTGCAAGAGGAAATGACGAGGTAACATCGGTATTTCTTTCATGGGGCGAAGTTGACATCGCAGCCACACTGATAGGGGGTAGAAATGGAAAGTAAAAGACATAGGTCTGGGGGGGGTGCCCCTTTTTTGGGGGGATCTGGAGGTGAAAAAGAGCACCCCTCAGGAAGTGAGGCGAGCTTGCTGGCAGCGTGTTGCAGCGGGCAAGCGTTGGAGGCGGAGCCCCAATCCACGTAAACTCCCCACCGCATAGGGAGTGCCCTTTCAACCCGACAGCAACCCTAAGCTTAGCCGCAACTACAATCTGTTCTCTTTCGATGGCCTCCTGAGCCCCTCGTGATGCTGATGATGCACTCTTGGCCGTCGATTACATCACCGGCATCACAACACCCTTCAAACCAGTAATTTTTCACTCCCCACACCCCCTTTATACACTCACTTCGTTCGCTCCAACAACCTCAAGCCCAGCCTACCGGCTGGCTTTCGTGATATATATATGTATATATAACAAAATGCGCCATATGCTGGTAAATGGTGTATAGCCAAGGGATATAACGATTCAAATGGTGAGGTGGTTCAAGGAAAATGAATGTCGTTTTGTCCAACTCGGATTCATCTGGCTCTTGGGAGTGGAGATTCTGGCTGAAACTGACACTTTCAACCGCAAACGTTTTTGGAGAACCCTTCAAACATGTTGCTTGGATCATCTTAGATCGCCGTCGTGGTTCAAACATGGGTGTCACTTTCCACGATCAAAACTGGAAAAAGTATGAAAAAGTGACTGGCCCAAAAGGGTGCCAGTTCCACTGGCGGAGTTGGATGCTTGATTACATTACATTGGGGGTGTCGGATCATCCTGCTTTAACCAAGAGCAGGTAGCAAAACCAAATGCCAAGTGACCGGCCAAGGTGTTTCTATAAAATGCGAAGTCAGATCCAACAGTCGTAAAAAATCCTTTAGAGATTGAACCCTGACTCCATTCTGCCGTTTTGGTCATTTATGCAGTAGAAGTCATTCGCCTAGGGATGTTTAGGGTATCCATGGGTAATTATCCGTAATGAAGTACCCATTCTATGTCCAGCCTGAAAGAAAAAGCTGCTCTGCTTCTCAAACAAACCGATCTCGCGGGCAGAGCAGTTCCTCAGAACTGTGCCAAGATTCCGAGATTTCATGGCAAAATGGCAATGGCCCAGGGATTCCCGAAGAACAAACATGTACACGTGACGAAATTACCTGGTAGAATACGCACACAATGAGCTGCATACAATAGCAATTCTAGTAACGACAATAATATCAGTCTCATCTCCTCCGGTAATTTCGATATTGATATGGTGTGCTTACACATAAACATCACACAACATCAGTGACATTCCCTCTTTACCAAATCTACCAAGATATACCGAGCATCTGCACCGTCGTCCTTAGCGGATGCTCACCATCTGTGCCATCCACCCCAGCCTGGGGTGCATTTGCCAACACAACTCCTGGGCGCCCCGGGTCACTGCCGGTCTCGTTGGTGTAGCCCCAAACTGCCACAGCATTGCCACCCAAATAGGCAAAGTCACTCTGCTGGATCGTGGTGTCGCGATTATACCCCGAAACCATCACAGCGTTTCCATCCAAACGTTCGAAGGTGCCTGAAAAAAAGGAGCGACACATGGAAGTGGAAAAGGGCACGGACTTCAACACGGTGCAGCAAGGCGGTCCCAAGCAAATTAGCAAATAGTCACATCTTTTTCCGGAAGCAGAAAAGGCGTGGAACACGCAGTAGCTCAACCAAATTTTAACCCAGAATTACTGTGGCACCAGCATGGCTAAATGCTATGGTTGGGAGGTGTAACATTGCCATGTCGCTTGTGGCACAGGGCTATTGTGCCTATGTATGCATATAACAATTTCATGTCATTGCCATAATGTTCTGTTAATTTTCAAGGAAATGCACAGCATACAACCTCATTTCTGGTTGATCCTACGCCTCACAAAGCAGAAGTGGATATGCTGGTACCCCACCAAGCTGAGCTACATCCATGAATCAAGGTTTCTTGCGTGCCCTGCATGAAGATTGCAGAGTACCGATCCAGCGCCCAATCTCCACCCGATGGGACGCCATAAGGCATCATGTAAGTTGGCGCTGCGGCAGAGAAACGAAGACCTTTCATTTGCACGCCCTTCCTTGCCAGTGTTGGGGAGCATTGATGAAGGGATATATATATATATATCCATATATCTGTTTATCCAACAAATCCTGACATTTCGAGTGCCCCGAGCCCAGGAAAACATCAATCATTGACTTCCATATCTTATACAATGACAATCAAACCACCCCACTAATCGCCCCAAAACTGTAGTATCAATGTCTTGATCCCACCCTTTCTTACCTGGGCTTTCACTCATATCCTACAGGACATCGTGATTTGCACCCTTGATTTCAAAGGGTCCCTGTGCTTTTGTCCTTGAACCAATTCTCATGTTTTTGTGCCTCTTAGCAAAGAGGCCATCTTTACTTATATAAGTTTGAGAGCTGAGATCTCTCTGATCCAGTGGATGTCCAAACATCAATTGCAAATAGCATCAAATAGCTACCCAAACATGGAAAAATTGTCGAGCCTCACACATGGAGCATCATGGAGACCCAACCCAAAGATTTTCAAGGACCTGATTTCAACCCACAGCTACCTTGTCCAAACGGCAGAAATTCTCTCGACCAAAGCGTCACAGGTTTCCACTGGGTTCCAGTGATGTTCACCAGAACTTGCACCTGTGGAACAACAATCGAATCTGTAGGTGGAGCACCCGTACCTCATGGCTGCTGGATTTGAGCAAAGCAGGAGAGCCACAAAGCTTTCAGGTTTCAGCCCTATCTAGGATGATGTGGTAGGCAACCCCAGAAATAGAACGCACCCAAATTGAGACATGCTGCCGTACGAGCACTACCAATCTGAGGTACTACCCGAAGCGCACTGCAAGTCCAAGATAGCAACTGACAGTGATCTACATCTGGCCATATCTACATAATGAGGGCTAGTGCTTCGTTCTGCTGGACGGGTGGGTTGAATCGATCCATAGTCCCTGCCTGGCAGTCGATCCTACTAGTCACTAGTCATTGAGATGCTTGGCTTCCCCTCCAGGGTTTCTGCAAGATACCGTTGTGGAAAAGGTAGAGTTTCTCCGTGCGTTTGTCAAAAAAGAACTCCCCAGGGTAGTCCAATTCTTCCATGACATTCTCCACGAAAAAGTCACCACCTCACACAAAATCATTCGTCAGGTAGGGTAGCGACCTCAACTTGAGGCCGAGGGTAGGTGACGAAAACTAGCAGGGGTGCATCCGAACTGGTGGGACATCAAGCGGAGTGAGGCAAAATTCTCATGAGGTAAAACGTTGTGAACATGTAAGACACACAAACAGCAATGACACAGCCAACCTTAGAATTGAAGAAAGTACGCCATCCTTCTCACCTGATGGTAAGTACGATGCAGCTGAGTCCTCACCTATCTCTCTTGACAGAAAGTGTGGTGTTGACTCCTCCTTAGCTTCCTCCTGGTCAACTTCCATCTTTGGTCCCTCTGAAGGAAAAGTACCTGCATTCTCATCAAACATTTCTTCATCTTTCTCAGGTTCAACTGCAGGATCTTCTTCAGGAACTTCCTCTTCCATATCTTCATCTTTCGTCAACATCAGACTACCAGTGTAGATTCCACCAGCAATAGTGGAGACTCTTGTGTAAGGAGGAACTTCTTCACCTGCCTCAAAAGCTTGTTCTGCGACATTCTTGGTGAGCAAGTCCTCTACAAGATTTTCTCCCATAGTCCTTGGAAGAGGTTCTGAGGTCTCATGAAAATCTGTCCTCTCTGAACTGAAAACTTCTGTTGCCTTCTCATTGTCCTTTTTGTCCTTGAAAAGATGAGTAATCTTCACTGCTTCTCTTTGTAGCACCTGATCACCTTCTCTATACTTGTTGACAATGGAGCGCCATACTGGTACGTCGTCATCATCAAAATCAAGCTCCATATCATCTGCTAACAAGTTTGAGATGTTTTGAGCTGCCTGTTCTTCTTCTTCCTCACGTTCTCTGGCAAGCTCCTCATTCTTCTGGATCTTGTAGACACCCTTCAGAATGTTTTGTAGTACCTTTAAGTTCAGCTTCGATGATGGCTCATACGTCCCTGAACTTACAGGCTCAACTACAACACGAGAGCAAGAAATCGCCTCCAAACACTTGGAATTGTATTGGCGTTCAAACTCTTCCTTCTTGATCATCTCATACAAGGGATCAGAAACTGCAACACGCGACTGAACATATTCACGAAGTTGATAGCATGCATGTTGCACAAATCTGCTGTTGGAGTTGTGAAGAAAACTCTCTAAATGATTCCTGTCACGGTCAATCAAATACCACACCACTCTTGCAGAAAACCTGAATTTCTTGAAGTTCATAGCAAAATGTGTATGATACTTCTCTGGATTCACTTCTGCTTGCAAGGCGGCCTCTGAGGTCTTGTAGGCTGGGAGATTTGTGTCTGGATCCAAAATCATAAACTCTTCCCACAAGATCGAGTGGTCAAGAACCCACTTGGGAAGCACCTTGATGAAAAAGTCACAAACAAGTTCAGACACAAGGTGCATGACACGACCAATCTCTTCCTCCTGCTTGAAGCGATAGTGCAATTTGGCAAATAAGGGATTGTTGAATGCTTCCTCCACTGTGTTGCCAGAATTATCCCACTGAGGTTCTGGAATACCAAAGTTCCAACCCAGCAATTTGGGATCTCTGCACATATCCAAGAAACTTGAAAGTTCTATGGATTGAATACCATGGTCTGTCAGAATTTCAGCCCAGCGGCGTCCATTCTCCCAAGCACGGATGAAGAAAAACTGTTGGTATCCAGTTTGTGCCAACTCCATCCACTGAGAAATTCCGGGTTCAAAACTCGGTGCATACGTCTTGGGGTCTTCCTCTGTTCCATAAACACTTGGACGTAGCAACTTGTATCTTCTACAAAAATATTCTCTCTGGTGTCTTGTCAACCTGTCCCAATCCCTCACTAGAATCACGTCTTCTCCAGTGCTCTGGAGTACACGTGTTCCTATGCGATCATGGAGTGATACCATGCCAATGTCATATACCATCCATGGGTTGAGAACCAGGTTGTTGACATTCTGAATGAACCATGTCATCTCTCGCTCAGCAACATGAGCAGAGTCATCTTCTTCATCTCCTTGAGGTCCTCCAGAAGTCCTTGCTGTTGAGCCTCTTGAAGTGATGTCCTTCCAAA